AGTATCTCTAGTTGAAATTAGCTTAAGTCTAATCTCATGTGAACCGTCTGTCTGAACAGTGTCACACACCTTCCTGTATGTCTTGACCAATACATTGTATTCATCCATTGTTGACTTTATATCGTCTACAATCTGACTGTCAAGTTCCTTTGTTTTTGTATGTTTTTTCCCTGAACTGCAATTAAATGAGAACGCATAATCATCATCATGTAATAGATGAAAAATTCATGATAGTTCCAGAGTTACGTAGCATAAAATTGACTATGCATATAATAAATTGAAAGTACCTTAGAGCTCCAATTCTGTTACTGATTTCATTCTGGGTGTCGTATATGTATAATTGAGAAAATTTCGGCTTCTCATTGTCTTCTGGAAGTAAACTACCCATCAAATGGCTATTATGTCCGTGCATTTTGAACACATAAGGGCCACGACTATCATTAATTGAACTGACTATGTTACCACCCATAAAAGTAAAAGCAAACATATTATTATATGCTCGGATATTTTCCAGGAACTGAGTACTTTTCTCAGTATTAGAAATAAATAATTCTTTTAACTTTGGAGGTGGTTCAGTTAACAACGGAAGATGTATTCTTCCTTGTTTGCAACATATAGAAAATTTAGGATGCTGAGGTTTCCTGTACTTGTTGACTCTTTCTTCATACCACATATTCGATCCGCAATATTCACATACATTCGCGGGATCTCCCAAATCATCATATTCTACATAACACAAATAATGAGGCATGTTATTGTCAGAAAAGTGAAACTTGCTGTGAGTAATATATGCATTTAGATTTGATTCAAACTTACCTGTATTTATGTGAGTGAAATTTATGTGGTTGATTTGATACTTTCCAGGCTGCAAACCCTGTTTAACTTGACTGGCTGAGCTTGATGGGTTATAGATGATTCTGGAGACAAAATCTCAGCTGAATCAGCTGACGAATTCTGACAATGTGATTTCATATGAAGAAACATAATAATACAGGCACTTTTTAAGATGTATGTATTATTTTTATGTCAAATCAGTATGTGTAACTGTTAAGTACAATAAACACTTGAAAAGAAAGGGTAAACTTGGAATATAATATGTACCTTTAACTTTAGTTACAGTTTTATGTAACTGTGAATTGGAATTGCAACCTTGATTAGCACTTGCTGTATACTTAATTTGTTGTGAAAATGTATTCCTGAAAACATTTCCTGTGAAATTGTTGGAATCACTTATAACAATACCACCAAGGGTAACAGGTTGTTCCTCAGGAATAACTTTGCCCTTCTTTTTATCAAGCTGTTTCTTCCTCTCCAATCGAGAACCCTTTCCAGAAAATGGTCTTTGCCTGTTGGAGATGACTGGAGATTGGTTATTGATAACTAAACTGAAACGTCTCTGATATAAGATATTCTTCCCCTGATACCTTGAGATCTTAGCAGTCAATAGATCAGGCCGTGGTAATCTTATAGGAACTTTACTTTTAACATATCTTATAGGTCGAAGAACTCTATTCCTTTTCTTGTCCAATGTCTGCTTTCTGAATAACATTGCAGCCTTTGTATCAGAAATCTTCATCGTCGTTCATATAATTTTTCCTTCTTTTTAAAAAACCAATGGAGTATAGAATCTCCAGTGAATAACTATGAAAAAATAGATAATATTTTACTGAACTTCTATCAGGAATAATATGTTTGATATTGATGATTGATAGTGGTTGAATAACTTATCTTATATATGTAAATGATAAAGATCACAACATTTTGATAAGTATCAATTATAATGAAGTTAATACAGGATATTATAATAATAATTGACACAGGACTGGAGTTTTAATAATGGCGATAAGCAATTTACAGAATTATACAATCCATGGTATTAAATAAAAGAATATATTTCCAAACTATAAAATAATTATGTACTATGGATATGAATAAAAGCTTAAGTGAAAATATATTTTGAATATGGTAATTATAGCTTTACAGCAATACAAAATTCATGATATTAAATAAAGTTAAATATTTTCCAAAATATAAGATTATTAAGTCATATATATGTGAATAAAATTGTAAAGTGAAATATATTATTAATATGTACATGAAAGATTGCAGGAAATAGATTGATGATATTGTTGACATAAAAATAAATGTGTAATCACCAAATAAATGTCCAAAAACAAAATTAACTAAAGGTTGAAAATCATTGTACTGAAATTTATAAAAAAAAAATAACTTATTGTCCGAAAATGAAAAAAAACTACACTTAAATTTGATTACAGCACTTCCAATATCAATGACTCCTTGTTGGCTGCCTTCTGGGCGTTTATACGAAATCCGAGTTTTATACCAGTTGGGATCCTTTTCAAAGTCATCATTTATTGGAGGTCTCCTTGAACAATGAATCGATGTAGAAAATCTCCAGAACTGGGGCGAACCATACTCATTATAGGTTCTCCATCGTAGTATAGGATTAACAATTGATTGTCTTGAATGTCCAATCTTCTGACAATGTGCCATGGGATCTCCTGTGGCAAATAATTGAGTCAGTACATTTAAACTTGTTGAGAAAAAATACAATTCAATTTAAAAACTTTTGTTACATATTATAAGTAAGATGTAATATTAAAACAGATCACAAATTTTTACCAGTCGGCCTTTGTTAATTACATCATTGGTCATAACCACATTGAAAGTATTCTGATCACTGTTGGACCTTATGTAGTTAATTATGTGAACCTCACCTGTGAAGAAAATATTACACTTGTTATGAATTCTATATAAACACATAGGAATATATATGAATTTATATATAATAAAATACAAAGTAGTAAACAACTGACGTAAACTTATACAAACCTTCAGATGTGTATGAACCGACTGTGTTTTGATGATTGCTGAAACAGTACCCTTCTTTGTTAAATACCCTGACTCTAAAGTATTGGTTTCCAGTGTAAATCAATATAACATTTACACATTCATAGTGGTTAAAATAAAAATCATGGAATTCTTCCCACATAAGGCCTTCAAAACCTGCTAGAGCATCTTCTTGGGTATATATCTGAAACTTCCACTGCTTCTGATTATCATCAATTACCAATGAAAGCTTTTGTTCTGAAGGCCAATTTATGGCTCTAAGTACTGTGTGTTAATAACCTAAGGTCAGGAGGAAGATAAAACAGATGTGAAATAATTCCATATATTAAAAGATTAAAAGCCAAGTACCATATATGAAATTCTGGTTATAAAAGCTTACACATCGATTGGCAACGTTTGGATTCAATTCCAAAAGGTAACGACTGCCAATATTTGCAGTTGGATCTGATCTGAGCCGCTATGTTCCATCAATTAAAAAATAAAATAACTGAAGAACTTTTCTTTGTTGATGGTAAACAACGTGAATTTTTGTGTGAGGAGATACACCAATGGATGTAAATAATTCTTCTAGAGCATTCCCCCACAACTGACATCTTCTTTTTTTCGTAATATGTAAATTTGCAAACACAATTTGTTTTCCCTGGAATTCAACCATTATTTGCTAACCGACATGATTCATATTTGCAGTAAGATTACTGCTAAGTATCTGGTAAAATCAGAAAACTTAGAAAGAGGATGATATATTATATATTAGACAGGCAGAATTTATATTATATACTTACCAACCCCTTTCTCCATATGTCTGTTGGGACAGTAATAAGTTGATCGTACCCAAAATCCATGGCAACTTGTGTTCTGCCTGTTCTTAGAATGAAAAGCACTGTGAAAAGAAGGGGAAAGAACTTTGTAATGATCTAGATACGTTATGTGTAAATATAAATGTCTGGATATGTTGTACACCTATTTAAGGCACCTTAAAATTAGGAACAGATGTGTCAGTTTGGAGGAATTCTATTCCAAATCAAACTGCTATTTCATTCTTTGATAATGACAACTATTCAATTTAAATTTAACTAATATTTGATCAATATTCTGAGAATCATATTTTTATGTATTGCCTTTCTGTTTTCTGTTTATCTAAATATAGTTGATATTAAACTGTGCATTAGTTTTTAAATAATTTATATTGGAAATACAACTTGTATACATATAATTGTGTTTAGTTTTTGTCAGGTAAGTGTAAAATGAACACAACCAATAATTTGCTACAAATAATTCATATTCTGAAATCGACATATATTAACTGATAACATTGAAAACATGATTATATACTTTTTAAAACAAACGTCAGAAACCTAAAAGGTGTACTTGTTACAGGAAAAACAACCGAAATGGCTGAAAAAGTAGGCTGCAAACTAAACATTAGTAACAATGAATCTACTATTAATGAATAGATCATTCCTTTAATACAAAGATAAAAAAACTTGCAGCGTGCATTTATGACACGCTTGTTGGAGTTGAAACTGACACTTATTCACTAAGTTGAGGAAATGATAAACTGTTCAGTGGAGCATGTGATCTGTTTCATCTCCAGGAAGTCCATTATACGAACAGGCAGAGCACAAAAGTGGAATCTGTAAATATAAAGCATAGTAAGCCATCAAATTTTTCCACTTTCAAGTAAACCATGTATTTATATGTACATTATATAATTACATACAATGTTCCTTACCAGTGCATGTATACTCATATTTTACCAGTACTGCAACATGATCCATCAACTTCAGAAACCTGCACTTTTTATTAGGAAGTAAAGGCAAATATGCAGGCAATGATCTATTGTTAGAAGGAACAAAAAAATTATAAGAAATGTAAAGTGGATACAAATATTCTCAAGCTCAATAATGCAAAAATGGAAATCGCAATATCATCCGGCATACTATTATGAAACTTAAACAAATAAGTTTGAAACAACCATGATAAAATCCAACGGATGTACTGATCTCAGAGGAGAAAGACGGATTAAAGGATAAAGTTCCGAACGAAAACTAACGGTGAAGGGAAATAAATTGTCTGCAACATGAATCCTTTATTAAGACAGTAAAATTCTTTGTAATTGTTCATTCGGATTAAAGCTTTCTGACACGCTTGTTGGGCTGGGACTTGACACTTTCTTCGCCACATTGTGCAGATGCATGCTTCTTTGGTGGAGGACTGTCACCCGTTTCATCTCCAGGAGTTCCCATATCATTATCGTCAGTGCAAGAAACTGCTGTCTGTAAATATAACGAATAGTAAGTCAACAAACTTGTTCACTTACAGTAATATGTATGTTTTCTTTGTACATTACATAAACTGTTGCTATTAAATACCTTAGCAGTGCTCTCAGATAATGGGGTTAAATTGTGGCAGAACTCGGCACTTAGCTCAGGATCTATTTCCTGCAAAATGTATGAAATAATCTGACTTGTAAACAATATCAACAGTTATTACATTGTTACACAAATAGATGTTATAGTTAAAACCTGATCATTTGAAACAGCATCAAGGTACTTCCTTATAACGTCTGCATCTGTTGTAACCCTTGCAACTGATATCGCACTGGTGTTGTTTCTAATGTTATAGTCTGAGACATCTAGCCTGAACAGACACTTTTTCCCCCACAATTTCATCTAGAATGTCAGGGTAACCTTTGGGATACTGTTATAGCATGAGAAAATTAATAGCAGATAATAATCAATAACTTGAAAGGTATGCAACAATTACAGTTGCATAGAAACAATTATCCCTGTAATGGTATATAATTTGTACCTCTTCATGTAGCACAGAAGCGGTCTTGTTTATGAAGTTGTACACCATTCTGTCCCATAGAGTACCAATTCTGCTGCCTGAACCATCAACTAAATACACCTACAACTTGAATCTGAAATTTGTGCAGCAGTTACAGATTGTACAAAGTACAATAAACAGAGATAATGTAAACTTTTAGTATGAAAAACATTATAAACTATATAACGTGACTATAGTTGTTTTACTTTGCAGCGACGGCAGAAACAGGTCCATGGTTTTTGCACATCCATTTCTTTGCTACTCCAACTGGCTTTTCATTATCTACCTTTCGACCTTTTGCCAAAGGCCGACCGTTGTTTACCGCCAGTGAGGTTTTCCTGAAAGATGTTGTCCTTACCAAAACAGAAGTCAAAATTTGCAACAAAATTGGTAATTTCTGCAAAAGGGGTAAATTCAAATACATGATTAGGGATGTCATGGTAACCAACAGATTGAACCAATGTATCAGGTCGGAATACAATTTTGTATTCGTGTTTTGAGCAACGATATCCCCCACTTATATTCAGGCAATGATCAAAACGTGAGATCTTCCTAGCACAACCCTCTTGAAGGAAATACTTCTGGAAATCTTTTATTATCCTTGCAGGTATAGTAGCCTGAATCTTGGATCCCTATATTTCAAAAAGTTTGGACAAATAAGCATATAAGAATTGCATCTTCTTAATGAGTAAAACATTGTTTGATGTTGAATACTGTATTAAATAATATAATACCTGAGCATCAATCAATGCCAACTCAACAGATTTGACATTCTTTTTTTTTTTCTCTATCATTTTCCAGATGGTCATAACACAAACAACTATGTGGAAATGGATAGTTTTGGTTGGTACCAAGCCATTGATGTCAGCAATGTACCTTTGTGCAGAACCTGTTGGAAATGTCTGATCAAAATTAGGGGGTGTTTGATTTCCAGCAAGTGGTTTTTCAGCATGGTGTTGTTTTTCAGAATCAAGAACAGGTGTATCTGTTTCCACTGCATTAGCAAAATTGTGGGTTGGAGATCCAGAAATTGGATTTTCAGGATAGTTTTGATTATGAGAATCAACATCAGGAATTTCTGATGAAGCCATGGGCATTGCAAAGACAGTGGGGGTTTCTGATGAAGCCATGGGAGTTGCAGCCACAGAGGGAGAATGGAAATTTGAATAGGAAACAGAAACAACAATGGAGCTTTAGAATAAATGGTCGCAGGTTTTGGTGAGTATGACATATCTCTATCAAGTTATATATACATAACATATGATATTCAATTCCATGAAATTCTGAAGGTAAGCATATCTCTGAGATTCTGATGTTAACTGAAAAAATGTTTCTGAAGGTAAGATTTTGATTTTTAAGGAGATAAACATGGATCAATCAATCAATCAATCACTGATGGTAAGGATATGGACTTGTTATGAATTGTTATTTAATTTAATTTGAATATGTAATTTATAAAATTCAAAACTGTTATTTGGGAAGTTTATCTGATCTTTACCGTATATTTGCAGCAACAAAATATGGAAAGGAGACGATTAAGGCATATTTCAGGGAATCAAACGGATGACGGTGCAGTAAAATTTGATAATGACACATATCTGGATGCATGATATAATTGGGTTATAGCAACTCTGCAAATTTTATCGTTGCGTTTTTGTACTGTAATAAACAGAATTGTTACTAATTATCCTTTTATTTACTGTTTATTATCAACCTTACTTACATTTATTGATATACATATACTGTAATTATGAGATTGATTCGGACGGCCAAAATTTTAGGGATATAACTTTGGTAGTTTTTTTTTTTTCTTTTATTTTCTTAAATAAATCCCTGAAAAAATTTCATCAAACATCATTTTTCTGCTCATCTGATGAGCCACGAGGCATTTTTCATTTTGTACTGAAAAGTAACTTTGGCGGGAAAATTTTTAATGTGAAACTGACACGTGTCCTTGTTGTATGTTGCTTTAATTAAGTACAATGGATTTGAGAAATGTGCTCGTAACCGAATCAACTCACCAAGTAATTTCGCAAATGCTAGGTTGCGAGTTGATAATAAAGATACATGGGACCATCTAGTTGATGCATCAATTAAGACCATAAAATAGCAAAATGGCCCACAAGATGGGTGAATCGGCCCACAAATATCACCATGTATACATTCCAAAAATTGAGGAGATTCGGTATGAATTTTCATTGGTGATGACCTTATAATTAACTTGTCTTGATAACAAGCAGCACAAGAGAATTCCTTGGCTTGAAGAATCTTCTAGCTCTTTTGAAAAATGACCATAAGAATTCTCTAAAATTCTCCGCATCATAATAGAACCAGGATGGCCTAACCGGTCATGCCAAACAACAAAATCATCATGATTAGTAAATTTCTGGTTTACCGTTGCATAACTTTCAATTATAGTAATATATATGTAATATAATCCGGAGGAATATGAAGGTAATTTTTTTAAGACATTTTTATTCCCATCAACATTACTCGTAATATACAAGTACTCAATGTTACCTTCACAACAAGTCTTTATGTGATATCCATTTCGGCGAATATCTTTAAAACTTAACAAATTTCGTTGAGACTTTGGGGAATATAATGCATCATTAATGCAAAATTTAGTGCCTCCATGTAGTATTATATTTGCTCTTCCGGAGCCTTCAATTAATTTTGTACTCCCGGATATTGTACTAACATGGAATTTTTTTAACACTGTATGAGAAAAGTATTTTATCTCTTTGAGTACTGAATATGTTGTTGCACTGTCTGCTAGACATATTTCTTTGTCATTGCTGATTGCGACATCCAGTATCTTCAAGAGTAAAAGATTCTAAATAAGAATATTTTTCCTTTATTTAATACAAAATTAAAGTAATGGACAATAAAATAAACATAAATAGGAAATGTTTTATTGAAATTCATCAAATGAAAATAAAATTCATTACATCAAATTCAAAATATAAAACCTATCTCTAAGGGAAAAAATCTATCCCTGAAAGACATTTTCAGCATTGACTTCACCTTCAGGGTAATTGACAAAGAAATCAGCAACATCTAAACTAGCAAATTCAGTAAAACCATTGTCAACAAAACCATGGTTAACATCAACAACATCATTCTGGATGAAATTTGTCTCTATCTTATTTTTTGCTTTCCTCAGTGATTCCTGATAGAGATCTGCAAGATGTTTTGGCGTATGATAGATACGCAACCAATGGTTCGTCATGCCACATCGAAAGCAATTGTCACCGTCTTTCTTTTTCTTCCCATTCTTATCATCATTGACTTCCAACTTCTAGTGGGTAGTATTTTTGTTATGACCACCACGGGCGTTATGACGGCTTTGATTACAACCACGGCCCCGGCTATGACCACGGCCTCGAGCTTGTCCATTATTAGGATGCGCTGCTATCGCATTTGCTTCAAGAAATGGAGCAGCACCTGTTGGACGGCCTCATGATTTTTCAGCAAGAGCTCATTGTTTTGTTCAGCAAGAAGGACATAAATCAATTCTGAATACTTTTTATATCCCCTTTCACGATATTGCTGCTGCAGGAGCATATTAGATGCGTGAAACGTGGTATATATTTTCTCTAGCATCTCCACATCAGAAATCTTTTTACCACACAATTTCAATAGGGAAGTGATTCGAAACATAGCTAAATTATATTCACTAGCAGATTTAAAATCTTGCAAACGCAAATGCGTCCACTCATAATGAGCTCTTGGAAGAATAACAGTTTTCTTATGGTCATATCTTTCATTCAAACTCGTCCATAAAGTATATGGATCTTTCACCGTCAAGTACTCTGCTTTTAGATCTTCATGAAGGTGGTGGCAGAGAAAAATCATGGCTTTGGCTTTGTCCTGATTTGTGGCATTGTTTCCAGCTTTGATTGCTTCTTCTAAGCCATTTGAAGTGAGATGGATCTCGGCATCAAGAATCCATGACAAGTAGTTCTTCCCGGATATGTCAAGAGGGACAAATTCAAGTTTTGCACGGTTAGACATCTTGATAAAAGAAACAAAAACAATTGACAACACTTACCCAACCGAAACTTGCAAGAGGTAGAGACTCGTACTAATAACGTGTTATAAATATAAAGTGAAGAATTAAACTATAAAGCTGAGAGAAAGAACAAGTAGGGAGAGTGAACAATAGAGAGGGAGAAAGAGAGAATGATCTGTGTATTATTTCTGCAGAGATTGCTGTCCTTTTATAGGCATAGCAGATACAGAGATAAGAGCAAATAGAGATAACATCTAACTGGTGATAAAATCTAATAAATATTATCTCTATACTAGAATTCCCATATAACTTTACTAGCTTGTGGACATCCACATTATCAGATAATTATAACATATCTTATAATATTAATATGTGTTTTATTCATTTTTTAGTTTTTCATGATCAAGCAATAATAATTACATGTTCAAACTCATTTGGATGTTCATACACAAACTGTATAATGTTCATACTTTAATATATTCAAGTTCAAACACGTATTGAGTAATATTACTTTAAAATCTAACTTGAATACTAACATCTCCTATTTTTAAATTCATTTCATCAAAATTTTATCTTTATAATTCCTGACTATTGTTGAAGTTTAATTGATAATGGCAAAATGAATAATGATTTAAAATTCAAACTGAATTTATGAAAAGAAAATAATTAAAAACAGGAGAGATAATATTTAAGATAATTACAAAAAAAAAAAAGTTCCGGTAAAAGACCATTCACTAATTAGGAGAGTGACTAACACCTCTTCTTTTGGCTCACAATGCAAGATAGACCATGGTCATGTTATCATCATGTTACGTTCAATATGTTAGAAATAATCATCGTGTGTTTTCTTTTTATGATGGCTTTTGTTTGTATCAAATCATACCAAGTTATCATCTTATTATCCTGACACTTTTTATTTTTGGCCAAAATCCTTTCTTTTCCTTTTCTTTTTGGTGTTTTCTTCAATGTATTTTACAAATTTAAAACTAAAAAAGAAAAAATAAAAATTGAATTGGTTTTGTGTGTGTGGTCGTTGTGTAGGTATATATGCGGTCTTTATCTTCCCAATATAAAAAATACAAAATCTTCATCCGGGCCCGATTAATAGGGAACTGTTATACCTCCAAAAGGATCACCGGGCCATAGGTTTGATGGGAAATTTTAGGAATCTGATGCGGGTACTAATGATACGGTAAAGCAAATCATGATTCGTGACGATTTTGGGGGATTTTGAAAGTTGGCAATAAAAAAGTAGATAACAACCTAATCACTGCGTTTGTGAAGCGTTGGAGGTCCAAGACACATACTTTCTATTTCTATTCGGTGAGGCGACCGTGATACTCCATGATGCTGAGGTCCTATTCAGTCTCCCTGTCGATGGGGATTTTGTTCATGGGGAGACATTGTCGCGAACTCCTGTGAAATGGCAGCAAAGATGCCAATTTGGGTTTCACCCCTAGTAGGGATCAAATAAATAATAACATAATCAACGCCGTATGTTTTGAGGATCAAATGCGACTTGTAATCCCTAAGGGCTCCCCAGAGTCTACAAACTGAGGGCCCATACATTCATCCTGGAAAGAGCCAAAACACCATAAGTCTTTATTATTTGATCCATCTCAAGGATATAGACAAGTGTAGACAGTACAATTGGGGTTCGGCTCTCCTGGCATCTTTTGTACTCTGGATTGTGTGAGGCATGCCACTATGAAAAGAGGGATATCATCGGATTATATATATATATATATATATATATATATATATATATATATCTTTTGTAGGTATGACATATTTTTATTCAATATCATGTTTGTATTTACAGTGTTATTTTAAATTTTGAAAGTATTTTATTATGATCTGACAAAACCATCACAACTGGTGGTCGGGAATAAGGCAAAGTCGTGGGGAGAGATAAGATTGGAGAAGGAAGAGAGCGAAAAATCTTGATTCCCCTGAGGCCATCTCAAGCACAAAATCAAGGTGAAACTTCAGGCAATCAACAAGGCGAGGACGACCATCAAGAAACGAGGCAAGAAAATGAGGTTGTTTCTTCTAGGGGTTCGCACACACAAAATGACATCTTGTGTTTTGATATTGGTGGAGAGTCACAATCCCAATCCAATATCCTACTTCCAATCATGGGAGAGCCACATCCGCGACCACACATTGCTTACTTATCTTCGGAGGGAAGATAGGCCGCACAATCCGCCAAAAACATACATCCCAGACGAGAGTCCTAAAAAAGGAAAAAAAGGAGCATTTGTACGTTTTTCCTTGTTAATTTTTTTAGGGTCGTGCTGTTGAGTCCCCTAATTTTTTCACTTGAACACCCTAAAAAAGACGTACACGCCCCTGCAAAATAGCGTTACATTAGCTTTTTTTGCAAAAAAAAAAAGGTACAGCGAGGGAGAAAGAAAAGGGGTGGCGTAAAATAATCTCGCCTCCCTCTAAAGGGAGGCGAGAAAACCTACGCTGCATGGCGAAGGTGTGGCACCCTTCTGGGCGACACATTTGTGCTTTTGCTCGCCAACCAAAGGGTGGGTGGCGCCATTTTGTGTGTCACCCACCTTAATTACTTTTTTTTTGATTTTTAATTTTTTAATTTATTTATTTAATTATTTTTAATTTAATAATTTCTTTTATTTATTTAAATTATTAGTTTAATGAATTTATTTAATTCATGTTTTTATTTAATTTATTTAATTCATATATGTATTTAATTTATTTATTAATTAAAATTTATTTTTTTATTTATTTGTTTGGTGGTTAAACAAATAATTTTAACTTAAATATTTGGAGAATGTTGCTTAATTACGTAGTAAATGTTTATAAAAATTTATCATTTAGTTATGTAAAATTTTTTAAACGTAAACAAAAAATTATCATTTAATAAAAACTAAAACTTATGAATTTACTACCAAACAAATTAATTATTTATCATTGGTGCATCTAGCTGTCCTGGAAATACTTTTTTTTGGAAAAAAATATAAAATATAAAATACGTTGAAACGAAAAATTAAAAAGCATGGACAAAATATAAAATACTTTTATTTATTTATTTAATTTTTTAATATTTTTTATTCTTTTTTAAAAGAGGATTAATAGTGGTTCCCCATTTACCCCCTATGCGACTCTATTGGTCAAAGGGGAGATGTCTTACCTCTAGACCGCACATCGTTTTCATTTAATTTATCCCATTACAAAGTCAAAATATTTAAGTTAAAATTATTTGTTCAACCGCCAAATAGATAAATAAAAATAAACTTAAATAAATAAATGAATTAAATAAATTAAATAATTAATTAAATAAATAAATTAAAAAATAGAAAAAATTAAAAAAAATGATAATTTCGGATTGGCGAGCGTCTGAGGTGGCGCCACCCCCATTTTGGGGGTAACATTCCTTCTCGCCTCCCTTAATTGGGAGGCGAGAAAATTGTGGGCCACCCTTTAAAAGGTGGCGCAAAGGGTGGTGCCTTTCTCCTGCGCCAGCCGTGAAAGGCTGGCGCAATGTTTCCTCGCCCTCTCTCTTTTTTTAAAAAAACAAAATATGTATGCGAGGGTAAAATAGTCTTTTTAAAATTTTTTAGGGCGTTCAAATGAAAAAATTAAGACGTTCAGTAGCCTCCCAGATTTTTTTATGGTTGGCTACTCTTTTAATTTAGTAATCTCGTTAGTAACTAAATAGTTTTTGGTATATTCCAACTTTATTTTAATGAAATTTATGCCTTTTCTTGTTTATCTTGGTTTATTGCATTTATTTTTCGTTCGTGTTGGAAAATAAAAAGATTTTGCACTAAATTAAACCAGTATTTTTTTTTATTCTATGCAACGCATTCGGATTGGAAACTCCGGATTAATCAAATTTGTACCAAACTCAGATTTCTCAAATTCGAATTTCTGTGCAAAGGAAAATACATCTCAGAGTTTATATTTTATAGGAAATTGGACATATTCATATTTTGCCAAATTCGAACGTAACTCTGGATTTTCCAAATCCAGGTTTCGTCAAAATGTAAATCACAACACTTTGAATTTTTTTCACACGGAAAATAATTTTTTATTCGCATTTTTTGATTTTTTGTAATCCCAATGCTTGTTAATTTTATTAAACAACGCCATTTTTTTTTATTGCATTTTGAATTAAGTTTATAGAATCCGAGTTCAGCCGACTTCAAAGTTGTCAAATCTGAGTGTTTTTAAATGCGAATTTCTGAAATTCGGTTGTTTTAATTTTGTCCAATAATTTTTCCAAAATATATATTTTGTCTAGCTCCTTTTGGTGAAAACATATTTAAGTAAAAAACTCGAAAACATTGTGACTCGTATTAAAATCAGAGTAATTTGGTAGTAGAAATAGTTGAATCTAGCTGGAAGAAGTATGTCCGGGATGGAAAGATTGTAGTGAATGTTCGCCAGCGCCAGAGCTCTTGGCCATCCTCCTCCGGACTCACCAACCCTTGAGTCATCGGAACAAGTTTACATCTCGACCCTCGTGCTTCTCAAGATGTTAAAGCACGATAACTGTTAATCTAGGTTTTTCCGATCTTTCTTTTTTTGTGTTTATTGATTAACTTTTAGTTAGGGTTTTGGTTGTTTGTGTTTAGTTTGATGGAATTAATTTCATATTATGACTGTAATAGGGAGAGCTGGGGTACTGATGGAAGTTATGGGTTTAATGTTGGGGGATTGGTTGATGAGTATACGGTTCGTGTTGTGGATGTGTTTGCTATGCCTCAAAGTGGTACTGGGGTTAGTGTTGAAGCTTTGATCATGTATTCCAGACAAATATGCTCGATATGCTCAAACAAACCGGCATGTATTTTTCCCTCTTACTTTTCCCTTCCATTTAACTGTTAGGTTGTTTGACATGTTTCTTAGGCATTATTGTTATCACTTCCAAATGGGAATTGAATTTTGTAAGAAGTTGTCTTTCGGATTTACCCATTGAGAACACTAATGTTTATAACTTCCATGAGAAACTAATGTTAATCATTAGATACTAGAGAATTTTCTTTGGACCCTCGCAAGTGTTAAACAATTGCAATTAACATTGATGCTCCCTCGCAAGTGAACGGTTTAGAAAATTCTTAGGAGTTAATTGATGCTGACTGATATCTTAGCAAGTGCAAATGTGCAAATAGCATTACTACTGCATCCTAGTTATACATTAACATCAGGGAAATTTATGTTGAGTTGCTTATGAGCCCGATAAGGTTCTTATTGAACCTGTGAATAATCTCTTATTGTCAGTGGCTTTTTTGCTCTGTATGATATTACAGTTTTTCATTGTACATCAGATTCACCCAACATTATTGATAATATTCTGCTTTTTATTAGTTGGACAATTGAACTTCTTTGTCTAAAACTTGTTATTATGCAAAACGAACCTCTCCCGTTATCTAATCTCTTTGAATGTCTCAAAGTACTCTGTTAATTTTGAAATAGTTGAGCATTATGGTCTCACATTTTAGAATTTGTAATGTGAATAGATCCTATATGAGCTATACAGTAATAGGCTAGATTGTTGAGTTTGTTTAAGTTGAGATGTCCATGTCATTTTCAAGCAGTGCTACCTTTTTTTCCTTATAGCCTTATGTTTTTCCTTGTCCATTTGTAATCTTTGTTGTTTATTGTGTCTTAAAACGTTGCAGACCGGAAATGGTGGATGGTTGGTATCATTCCCACCATGGGTTTGGCTGTTGGCTCTCTGGTGTGGATATCAACACTCAACAGGTGTGTCTGTATTCTGATTTAGCTACATTTCGTCCATTTAGATATCAAGTGAAGACTTCTTTTCTTTGGGGGTGGGGCTGTTCTAGTTTATTTTTACCATCATGAGCAACTCGATTATGTTATTATCTTTTGGGTGCACTGTCATACATATATCTGTTTTGTTATTCACACTAATCATCTGTGCAACAAAAATTGCCTTCAATTGTCCTCTTTTTATGCTTTTCCCTTTGTGTTGTTCTCCTCAAATGATGTGTGCACATATTACACCAGCTATTTGCCCCCTCCCCTGGCTCTCTAATTGAAGGCCCTCACAACTACTTTTGCTACAATTTGCTATGTGGTATTCTTTGCAAGTTACAAATCTGTTACGCGTGGGCCTATGGAGTTGATGTTTGGTTGGTTAAGCATATCGACATTAATATTTGCAGAAAATTATCACTTGTAATTGGCCAGTCGCCTATGTTTTCAGATACACTGTTTAGTTCTCACTTTGACCTTTTCTTTTTTTGTGGTGGTTGACAGTGTTTTGAAGCTTTGAATCAAAGAGCTATGGCATTTGTTGTGGAACCAATTCAGAGTGTCAAAGGAAAGGTGGTCATTGATGCTTTCCGATTGATTAATCCACAAACTATGATGCTTGGGAAAGAGCCACGACAGACCACTTCCAATCTTGGCCATCTGAACAAACCATCAATCCAAGTAATGCTGATTTCTACTGCGTTGAACTCTTACTTAAATAATAACATGGCAGACTCAAGTTACTTATTAGTCTCTTGTTGCAGGCATTGATCCATCGGTTGAACCGATAATACTACTCGATTGCCATCAACTATAGAAAGAATGAACTTGAGGAGAAGATGCTATTGAATCTTCACAGGAAGAAGTGGACGCATGGGTTGACCCTCCAGCGTTTCGACACTCACTCCAAAACCAATGAACAAACTGTTCAGATTAGTCAATCTTCATTCTACTTTGTGGGTGATGTATGACAATGCATAAAATTCTGGATTAAATTTAAGTATGCTTTTTCCTATAAAGTTAAAAAGTGTTGGATTTGATGCAGGAAATGTTGACTTTGGCCATGAAGTATAACAAAGCACTTCAAGAGGAGGATGAGCTCCCACCTCAGAAACTGGCCATTGCAAATGTAGAGAGACAAGATGCAAAAAAGCATATAGAAGAACACGTCTCAAATCTGATGTCTTCAAACATCATTCAAACATTAGGAACCATGTTGGATACAATTGTTTTTTGAGACTGGAGTAAGCTATTTGATACTTTGTTACGTTTCTTGGAAGTGATTGTCTATTTCGTTAAATAGCATAACTATCATATTTTATATGTTTCCTTCGGCTACCTTGATGTTGGATTTCTGTTAGAACTACTATGTTGTTTCTAACAGGGACATGTATTATTAAAGGGGATGGGTTTTGTGTCCTTGGATAGTAAATGGGGACTTGGGACTCTCTTTCTGTAAGCCTACTTATTTCAGCATTTAGTGCACATAAGTGTTTCTCGGACCAGGTTTCAATTTGCCTGCCATTTGGTTCTCCCATTTTACCTTCATACAAGTTCTCTGTTGGAATAGAACAGCTGGTGATCAGCATTTAGCAAGCCGAATCAAATTTGAAAATAGCAATCTTGTAAAGTACCAGTGTCCTTCGATTGCATTAACAGTCTTCCTGCCTTTTTTAATTCAATTACTTTTAATTTCTTTTACATTCTCTCCTATTTGAGATTTCAAATCTTTTTTTTACCCTTCAACCTTTAATAAGACGGGAAACACTTTGGTGTATTAGACCTTGAGATGAGTGTTAATTGTTCATTTGCAAACAAATACGCAATTTACAGATCCCCTGATTCCCCTCTACTGTTCAAAACGAAATACTTTCGAAATAAGTGTCTTCAACTTCGTTGAAATGAAAATACATCCATTCACCCTATTAGACTTATTTAGTTTAGGGCAGGGGAGTAATTACATTCATCTTTTAAGAGTGCTATGACTTATTTTGGTTTTGGACAGGGGGAGTATTTACAAATGAAAAAAAAAACCATTCGCTTCTTTTGTCGAAGAAAAATAGTTTATTTTATTGCACTATTTTAGTTCAATAAAGTAAAAAATTCCTAGGACAGAGTAGTATCATAGTATATCTTATGAGGCAATCCATATTAGTGGTCTGATTTTGCTTGGTTGAACAATAAAATAATACTATCTCCATTCCAAAAAAAAAAAAAAATAGTCCATATTACATTTTGAGATTTGTACTAAAACATTTGTACTAGTTTTAGTACAAATTTAAAAACTCAATGTGGATTATTTTTCTAAAACGGAAGTAGTACAATGGAAAAATTCTTTTTATCTTGTTTGACCGAGAAAAAATGACAGGTTCTCACTCTTTCTTTGTTTAATAGAGTGATTGTGCTAGGAGTAGAACTTGCTCAAGAACCACTAAGAAATACACAAATTATTCGTTTAAGAATGAATTTTATTCATCCAGAACTCCATAATAATTTTTTTTTATAAACTAGAAGTTGAAATACAAAAGGTAACTTATTTCTTGAAATTTTGTAATTATATTATACAGATAATTTGTTCCTAATAAGAAGATAATAAGAATTGTAACAAAAAAAAAAAATTAAAATAATTATAAAATATAAAATGACAAAATTGTTCCTAGACCCTACACATATGCATTGCACATGAAAAATAGGTATCCATTATTATTTAATGCCCAAAACTAATAAAATGACTTCGGATGTCTTTTTGGATTAGTAAAGCTGTAAATGTAGATGTAGTGGAAATAAAATGTAGTGGAAATAAAATTAGAATGATAAAACAGTCATAGTATAATGACCTATTTTTAATTAACTCTCATATAAAAGGAAAAAAAAGACGGTTCCGATTTGAATCATGCTGGATCAGAAGAATAGACATCGAAGAAGCCATAAAAGATTCATGGAATGGAGAAAATGTGAACCTGCTTGACAAGATTAACGAGTGTGCAATCGGTTTGATAAACTGGAACAGGAATTACGCTAGTGCGAGCAGAAAGGAAATCGAGAATCTACGGAGAGAAATCGAGGAACTTCAGAATGGTATTTTAGATGACCAAGCTCAAGAAACCCTTTTGGAAAAAAACTGGTCCGGGAGACAATCTTAACGGAAGAGGATGACAAATGGAGAGAAAGGTCAAAATTGCACTGGCACAAGGAAGGGGACTGTAACACAAAGTATTTCCACACCTATGCAACAAAGAGAGAGGAGGTCAATGAAATCAAAGGTTTGAAAAATAACCAGGGAGCATGGTGTACAACAGAAGGTGAATTGGAGTCAATAATCGTAAACCATTTCGGGGAGCTATTCATTGCCAATAATCTTCCAGAAGATGACCTCAACTTTGCCCTTTGTCTAATAAGACCAAAAGTGTCGAGTGACCAAAATCGGAGACTGGAACAACCTTATATAGCACTCAAGATCAGGAAAGCTTTGAATCAAATGCACCCCGAATCCGCAGGTCCCGACGGTATGTCTCTCTTATTCTTTCAAAATTTTTGGCCCATTATAGGAGAAGATGTAACTCATTACATTTTAAATTTTTTAAATTCTGCCATTTTTGACACCAAAATAAATTGCACAAACTTGGTTTTGATCCCAAAACTAAAATCTCCAAAACTCATTTCTCAGTTTAGCCAATTTCATTATGCAATGTTATCTATAAAATAATTTCCACATATGATTTCTGATTCTCAATCAGCTTTCGTCCCAGGGAGATTGATCATAGATAATATTCTAATTGCACAAGAACTTCAACATGAAATTTGCAAAAGAAAAAGGAGGAAAAGAGGGCCAAATGTCCATTAAACTAGACATGAGCAAACCTTTCGATAGAAATGAATGGAAATTTGTTCTTTTAGTAATGAAAGCTTTAGGTTTCAGCAATTTATATATATCCCTAATTGAAAAATGTATCATATCTTCAACCTTCTCTTTTCTATTGAATTGTCAAGAGTTCGGTTCACTAACCCCGTAACGTGGTATAAGACAAGGGGATCCACTATCCCCTTACCTCTTTATCACATGTGCGGAATTTTTCTCTTTGATGATACAGGAGGCACAAAGATGCAGAAACGTCAAAGGTGTACAAGTTGCTCCAACCGCACCAAGCATATCACACCTCTTCTTTGCTGATGACACTCTCTTTTGTGGAAAAGCAACTGAGTTAGAAGTTGATGCATTTTCCAGCATTATTAGCTTGTATGAACAAGTCTCGGGGCAGCTCATTAACTTAAATAAATCAGCAGTGATCTTCAGCCCAAACACCCCGATTGAAGTGGCCACAAACCTAGCAGCCAAATTCGGAGTAAAGCGAACAGACTCTCATGCAAAATATCTCGGCCTTCCTTCTGTCACAGGTCGACGAGAAAAGGAGATTTTCAGCGACATCAAGGATTGTATTCGCGCAAGAGTAGATGGTTATGGAGAAAAAGCCTTTCACAATCCGGAAAAGAAGTACTCATAAAGTCGATTGCTCAGGCTATTCCCTCATATGCAATGAGTTGTTTCCAACTCCTGGATACACTTTGTGAAAAAATCCACTCAATATTGGCGGCTTTCTGGTGGGGGGACTCAAAAAACAAAATGAAAATACATTAGAAGAGCTGGGAATCTCTATGCTAACCTAAAGAAGATGGTGGACTTGGCTTCAAAAATTTAAAACTCTTCAACCTTTCGCTTTTGGGAAAACAGGCATGGTGCCTGTCGACAAATAGTCGATGACTTCTTTACCAAGTTCTGAAGTCCCGCTATTTCCCATATGGTGATTTCATGTCAGCTAAACTTGGATCGCGTCCATCATTCAGCTGGAGAAGTATCTTGCAGGGCAGAAACGCTCTCCAATGCGGTTGCAGGATGAGAATTGGCGACGGGGCAACAGTTGACATATGGGAAGACCCTTGGATCCCTAAGCCTTTCACGTTCAAAATCATCAGCAAGAACTATACAAAGAAAAATCGAGTTTCAAAATAAAATAAATATTTCTTTAAAAATGATATATTATATAGTTATGATTATCAAAAATGATAAAGAGAAATAGAATCAAATAAAAATTCAAAAGGGATTTTCTTATTTTTACATATTTTGAGGTTATTTTTTAATTTTTTTTGCACTTCATGAAAGCAAATGACACTTAGGGCACGTGTCAGCTTCACAGAGCTTTTTTTCCCAAAACGAAAAATATACATCTTTTGCAAAAGCAAAACGCCACGTGTACTGTGTTCATCCGGAAAAAAAAAGAAACCATACCCCAAATTATGCAAATATAAATGTTCACGTTAAACACTCCCCAATTTAAAGGATTTACATTCTGCAAATATAAATCACTCCCCATTTGAAGAGAATTATATCACTTAATATACGGGTCCCCAATTTCATATAACTACTCCCCAATTTTATCTCCAAAATTATAGCAGGAAATCAAATTTTGATCTTTATCGATCGCAGAATCAAATCCCAAAGTCGGATAAAGATCGAATTTTGTCAGATTTTTTTAGATCTTTTTATGGGACGAAAAACCTTTTCATCTTCTCCATCTCTCTCCCCTGCTCCTCCATGCTCCATTGGCAAAGGGGCAAATGTATTGTGTGGGGATATTGAACATCACTGGAGCAATCATCGAGATTGTTATCGGCTCTAAACGAGATTATTATCAGCATTTAAATGGGTATAAATCTAATATTTTGCGATTCATGTTTATCAAATATTATTATTATTTTCACCTCAATCAAATTCAATTTTTACAGCGCTGTGGAAGGAAATCACGGGTGACCGACAATCTGATATCGATTATCAATCTTTCTACAACAGAGAAAAAAAGAAGCGGTTGTAGAAGATGAAGATGATGTGGTGGTTTATTAAGGTCATCCGGAACCGTATCTAAAGCTTTGAGGTCTATTAGATTTTACTCGCTTCCACCGCTGCCACCATAATCGCCGCCACCGGCACCTCCGTATCCCCCCTGCCTCCGGAAGCTCCATATCCTCCTCCCTCAGACCCACCGTATCCTACGCCTTATCCACCAGATTTGTCACCTTATTGACTGTACGTATTTATCTTCAATTCGTAGTTATTTATCTTGAACGCTTGTTATGAAGTTTCTATTCATTTGAGTTTTTTCAGTGAGCAATTCTTATTTTTTGTAAGCAATTCCTTCTGCAGAGTTTATACTTTTAGATCTATTTTGAAGGCGTACTTATAAA